GGAAAGCACTCTGTAAACCTTAAAACGTGAAAGGAATGGGAGATGTTGAGTGTCATCACTGGCTCCTGACTCCCAAGCCCAGGGCTTCTGCCACCACACCAGGCAACCAAGGCCCTGCTGCTGTCTAAAGAAGGACAAAAAGCTGGGAGTCAGGGGTCACTGGGCCCTAGGTCAAAGTTCCTATTTGAGAGCCCGAGTGACAGGGACAGCATGTTTCTGAAGTCAATGAAGCATCTTAAAAGAGATACTGGAGTAAGCCTTCCCTGCCCCCACTTGCAGCCCCTCCTGTCCCTCCCCTTCTCCTGTCAACACCTCCTGGCCACCACTCCCACTGTCTGCATCCCACAGATAGCAGGAGCTCAAGTCTCTGTCTGAGGCCATCCCAAAATAGCCGCTCTGCCCTCTCCTCCACGGACCAACCAAGTGTTCAAGTTTCCCCCATAGAAACTCAGAGGGCGACTGTCTGGGGGGAAGATGTCTCCAGCCCTGCCACCAGCTCCCCCTGAGGAGCTGAGGGCTCCTGGACAGGACCTCTCACATCAGGTCAGCCTGTTCTGCTAGAGCAGGAGGCCTGGGAGCTGACATGGGTAGAGACTGAGAAAGTACCCTGAGGAAGGAAGAAGGAAAGCCTCGTATGTTCACTAGGTTGGGGAACCCCATAGAAATATGAGAAAGGTTTCTTGAGGGGAAAGCACCCCCACCCCCCAAACCAAAGCCTGGCCTGTTCCACGTCATTCTGAGAAGGTCACCCTGAAAGCACTTCTCCCCTGAGTAGCCAGGGGCTCTGTGCTGGAGAAAGCAACAGTCTCCTCTGTGACCTTCTCCCGTTCACCAGCAGTCAGGAACAGAGGCTGGGGAGCCTGGTTCATGTTCACCTCCCAAGAGCAGCCCCTGCAGAAGCAAAGAATCAGCTCCGACCTCTTCCCTCCTCCCCGGGTGGGTTCGGACACCAGCTAGGGGTACGTGCGTAAGAGCACAACTGAGGCAGCAGGTATGGTCTTATTTAATTATCTCTAATATTAATCTTCTTATAAAATCAACACATACATCTATTCCAGAAAGTCCCCTTCCCTGTTTCCCTCCCACTCCAGCATAGCTAAGGTGCGGGAGGGTGGAGACTACACTGAGTATGTGTTAAGGCCTGGGGGAGGATGGGGCCCTCCAGGTTAGGGACCCCCTGCGGTTCCATCCTGCAGCTCACTCCGAGGGAGACGGAGTGGTTGGTCAGTCCTGGGGAAAAAGCAGCTGGAAGAGAGGGAGATAGGACTCCCCAGCCATTCACTCCTCAGCCTGGGGAGCCTCTGAATTCCCTCCTTCCTTGACATCATTGTGACATCGATACCTCCCCCCGAGGACAGCCAGGCACAAAAGGTAATCAATCTTCCCGTGGCCCAAATCAAACCCTGGCCCAGCAGGAGAGATGGGCAAAGGGGAGACAGGAGGAGAGAGCTGGAGGAAAGGGGAGCTGAGGGCAGAGGGTTGAGGGGAAACCAGGGCAGCCCTCCCACCCTGATACCTTTATTTGGTTTTGACATTAAAAAAATAAAGCAGAGGCCCCCCGGGGAGCCAGGCCACCTTGTTTCTCTATATAAAAACCGGGATGAGAGCAGCCTCCTCCACCTGCCCCAGGGCGGGGGGAGGCCTTGTGCTTATAGCACGTCTGCACGCTTATCCCGTACACGACTACGCGCTTTTGTCCGGGCTTTGAAGGCGGCTGAATTGTAGAGGTGCTGGAAAAGAGAGGAGAGGCCATTTAGAAGCAAGCAAGGGTGGCGCTTTCCACAGGACCCCAAAGAAAAGGCCGGCTAAGGATGAGGGAGAGCACGGCTGGTCTCCTTGAGAAGGGGAAGCCCAGGCTCTCAAGGTCCTCCCACTCCTCCCAACCCAGCGGCCCTCTTGTCAAACAGGACAAACTGGGGGGAAATGGCACAGACGGGTTTGAGGCAGAACGAGAGGGAGCCAAGACAGGGGTCAGGGCCAGCTACAAACCTTCTCAAAGCGGGAAATCTTGCTGGCCTTCATGGCAGCAGCGTCCAGCACCAATACCGGTCCCAGGTCAAAGATGTCTCGAAGCAGCTCATTGTTCTGGGAGAACCAAGGGGACAATGTGAGCCAATGAAGTCCCGGGCCTTTGCGAGATGGGGGAGGGCGGATGGGGCAGGGGAGGGTCCCGCTCCTTCTGACTTATCGCCTAGGACAGTACCTGGAGGTGGTGGAGGACACCAGAGCCTAAGGTCTCCTTAAATGCTGCATATGTCCGGCGTCGGACCCAGCTGTCCACATACATACATTCCAGTCCAAACTTGATTGTCTCTTCCTGGCACTCTCCAGTCTAGAGAACACGGACCAGGGGAAGGCTGTTAACCCCCAGGAACCAGTTCTCAGCCCCTTCTCCATGCTGGAGGAGGGGAGGGGTTGAGGTCCTTAGTGCTGAGCTCGTGGAATGTGTGTTATAATGGTCTGGTTTATGCCTCCCTCCTCTAGTAGGCCATGGGGGCAGAAACCATGTCTTCCCTACACTTTTTCTCCTCCCTTGAGACAAGCCCAGTGCACCCAGGAGGTGCTTAAACAATATTTGTCCAAAGAATGCCCTTCTATGCTGACAGTGAGGGTGGCTGGGCACACAAGATGGCCTGAGGAGCAACCCCACAGGACCAGAGAGGACAGAGACCTGGGAGGGCCCTCAGAGACCATCTGGCTCAGGCCCCTTGTTTTAAAGAAGCAGAAACTCAGGTCCAGAAACATGGAGTGGAATGGATATGTTCCCAGAGCGGGGGGACGGTTCCACGAGCTTCTTTGTTTCTCCAGCATCTAGTACATCACTGGTGCTCAGTAAACATTTGCTATTGTTGGGTTTAGTAACTCAACCAGGATCACACGGATCTGAACTCAGGCCCCTATACCAGCTGAGGTAATTCCAAAAAATCATGGAGAGGAGGAAAAATTTGGTGTCGATAACCAACCACCCCCAGGGCTCCGTGTCGGCTCTGTGTGCCTGCACATGTGTGTCTGTGTGTACGTGCACATGCATGGACATAGGTCTGTGTGCAAGAGCGTCCCCACCTCGATGAAGTGCAGCACATCCCGGAAGATGGAGCGCTGTTTCCGCCGATCAGCCTTGGCCCGGTACTTGTTGCTGTCCGTGGCCAGGGCTCGGAGGGTGCTGCACAGGGTATCGGTGTCCTCATACAGGAAGTCCTCCTGAAGGAACATTTGGACACGGCGGCTTGGGGCAGTCCAGCTTTACCTAATCCCCCCCATCCCACCTCACAGAAGTGGCCCCAAGACTCTACAGGTGGCCCTCGCCCTCCCAATCATAACAGGGCCCAAACTTCCCCTCCTGGTCCCACCCGCCACTCCCGGTACCTCTAGGTCTCGGCCCAACTCAAAGAGCAAGGCGATAGTCTCCCCTGCTGCGATGCGAAGGTGCACGCTGTCCCTGGAGAGGAGCTGGGGCAGCTGGGGCAGCTGGCTGTGCAAAGGCAGGCGGCACCGAGTGAGCTTCCCTCACCCCGCAGACGGGCAAAAGCTCCTTACTTGCTACAGGGACTCAGGGCAAGAGGCAAGTGCGTGGGCTCCACTCAACCTCGCGGCTCCTCATTGCCAGTGTCTGGAAACCTCCACTCCCTCGGTGGTCCCCCCCTTCCCCTCCTGCCAAGCAGCTCAAGAAAATGGGAGCCATATCCTGTTCTATTTCCCTGCAAGAGGGCGAATCTGGGCAATACAGTCTGAAGGAAAGAGCACTGCACGCCGTGTCAGAAAACCTAGCTTTGAATCTAAGATTTTCCACTTAAAAGCTCTCACCCTTGACAATCCAATTCTATTTACAACAGAAATTCAGCTCTCATTGGGGCAGGACTGCATCTAGACCTAGCCCCTGAGGTATGAGATGATGAAATGAGCACTACCAAGGACGAGGAGAAGGACCAGAGGGGTCTGTCCACTAGCCCTCCTTCGTCCCCCCATAGCTTTGCCTACCTGTCCAGCACCCTGCTGATGTGGGAGCCAGGGCAGATTGTAAGGAGTAAGGCCCAGGCCTGGAGGGCACAGCAATGCAGGGCTTGAAGGGGTGCCAGGGCGGAGGATGACTCCTCCCTACAGGCCCCACTGAAGATGCCCTCGAGGCAGGCCAGACATGAGATGAGGTCCTGTGGGAAGACAGAAGCCCAGGGCAAGGAAGGTGTCAGAGAGCTTGCCTGCCAGCTTCATCAGACCTCCGTTCGAGCAAAAGTCCAGCCTGGGAGGCCAGTCGTCCACACCCCAGCACCAGTAAGGTGGCCTAAGGTCGGCTGAGGTGAGAAGATGCTCTGGGCTCTTGAAGGGAAAAGGGAGCCGAGACAGGGTGAACTCACCTCCACATCAGCAGCAGCAATGTAACAGCACATCCCGAGGGCTGTGGCACACTGCAGGGGAGAGCAGGTCAGGGGGTCAGACTCTCTCAGGATTCCCTCAATAACCCAGGCCTCAGAAACACAGGGCTGACCCCAAGCCAGAGAGAAGTCACCTCACCTCTGGGCCTCAGTTTCCTCATCTGTAAAATGAGGGGGTTGTACTCATGACCTATGACCCCATGACCCCTATAATCCTATAATGCTAGGACCCCATTTTGGCCAGTTCCTAACTCTAGCCCGAGCCCTAGCCCTTAGGGCTTCCTCCCTTCTGTCTCCCTACATATCAGCCAACTCCTTCCAGTCTGAGCCAGAGGAGAACCAATGGGATAGACCGTATTCAATTTAATACTTAGGAAGTCGAAGTGTCAGACAATCCTCTTTTTCTGTTTTGTGCATAAGGAAGCATTCAAGTCTGTTGACACTGGTCAAGTTCATCATAATAAAAAAGAATTTTTAAAACGAGCCAATGGAAAGGGAGGTTGTGGGGCACTCAAGGACACCGGGCTCCGTCTAGACCCTGCCTTCTTCGTCTCTGCCCAGGAATATAAACCAGCCATGCCCCGTTACCCAAGCCAGTCTAAGAAAAGGGCCATTGAGGGGGAAGAAGATAAGGAGGCATCCCCTCTGTCCCGACCCCTAGGCTCGGTAGAGGGTCAAAGGCCATCTCTACAGGGCACCCATGGAGGACAATTATTCTTCCAACAGATATCTGTCAACAGCCTACTCTGTGGAGAGCTCTATGCTAAACACAGGAGAGAACAAAGCTGAGGTAGGCCTCGGTCCCTGTGTTCACAGAGCTCAAAGTCAAGGAGGGGAATAAGATGTCAATCAGAATCACGGCATCTCAGAGCTGAAAAGGGCCTCGAAGGCCATGCATCTCAGCCTGTAGCTGAATCAGGATCCTCACTCTAATGTGTCTGCCAAGTGGCCAACAGGCTGCTGCCAGAAGCTGTCCAGAGCTACGGGACTCTCTCCCTAACGCCCCAGGCAGCATGGCACCCGTCCTGTGTTTAGCCGGTCTCCTCAGCTTCTGGACCGGGTTTTTCCTTTCATTGAGCCAAAACCTGGCCCTGGGCAACGCCTCCCAGTTGCTCCTCCCATTTCTGCCCTCAAACTGAATCCCTTGTCCATGAAAGAGCCCTTCAGACACGCCGCCGGCGACCAGGCCCCACCTAAGCTCATAAATCTCTTGCTTTATGAAGAAACACATTTTTTTGCCCTTTTCATCATTAAACTGCTCCAGAGGGAGGAGGCACGGACAGCGTGCTGTTCAACAGCCACGACAACCTGCCCCTCTCAGGCTGGCCATCCCCAAGATCCCATGGCCCAATCCTGGACATGACAGGATAAGGACAAGTGAGAAGAGGGCTTCAAATCCCCCTTCTCCTCTTCCTTGGGTGACTCTGGGCAAGCTCTGGGAGCCTGTGTGTCCCCCTTTCCAAAACAAGGGGCCTGACAGGCTGGGGCCCGATGACTGCAGTCCCTAAGCTGCGCAGGCCTAGAGAAAGGAGGGGAGCCCTGGGGGGACAGGAGGTGCTCACACTGTGCCGAGCTCCAAGGCTGGCGGAGGTATCAGTAAGGATGCTGACGAGCAGGGGCCGCAGGCTTCGGAAGAGCTCCTCTCCCTCGGGCCCTGAACCCATCTGAAGGCACAGGAGGGTCAGCACAGTTGCAGCAAGAGACTGTTCCTCTCCTTTCCCTGCAAAGGAGGGTGGGAAAGCCCTCATCAGTCACCTAATGGAGAGCCCAGGGACCTCAGGAGAAGGCTGACCCCCGGAGCCCCACCTCCTACAGACTACCCCCATCCCCCCACCCCCAGGCCCAGGCTGCCACAGGAGCCCCGAGGCCTGGCCTCAGGCAAGCGCAGTTGGGGCAGTGTTGGGGTGGGAAGGGCCGGAAGACCAAGTCGAACCTTTCTTGAGGCACTTTTCGAGGGAGTCTGTGAGGGTGAGGCGGCGCTCCAGTACAAAGTCCAGGAGCACCCGGGAGGAGAATGCCAGGCGCAGGCTCTCCAAAGCACCCAGCCTGGTCTTGGCACTAGAGGAGAATGAGGATGGAAGGGTGAGCCCCTGGGGCTCATCCAGACTGGGAACAGAGTCACACGGGGCAGAAGCCTGAGCTGGGCCCCAAGGGTCTGGACAAAGACTGGGGAGTCGAACATAAGCGGGGAGGCCAGCGTCCAGCCGAGAGAGGTACGGCAGCGACCTCCCCGGGAGAGGATGGGGCCTTCACATGGATCAACCTGACTCCCAAAGGGAAGACGGGAGGGATGGAGGGGCTGGGCCACGGCAGCCATGCTCCTCCCCACACAAGCGGGCACCTCTTGTCGGCCACATCGTCCACGCGTTCCTTGAGCTTCTCTTCCAGCTCCTCTTGCTGGGCCTGCTCATCGACTACTTCATTGCCTGCAGGCCCCACCGCACAAGAGCCTGTCAGTTCCCGCGCAAGCCCCCCAGGGCCCTCCCCACTCCCATCCCCCTGCCCCGGCCTCGCCTTACCTAGGCTCTCCTCGGCAATGCTGGCACCCTCACTTGTACTGCTGTAGTGACTCAACACTTCACTGGTCGCTTCATCATCACTGGAGGGAGAGTCGGCCTGGGTACCGCCCCGAACTCCTGGGAAGGGCCAGAATGGGAGAGGTCAGCCTAGGGCTCACAGCTTTGGGATTGAGATCTTATAGTCCAACCCCCTCATTTTACAGATGAGCAAACTGAGGTCCAGAGAGGTGAATCCCATGCTCCAAACCTCTCAGCAAGTATCCACCCCAGCTGGCTTCAAAATCACGTCCTGTTTCTACAACCAGTTCACTTAGGAACCCACAAAATCAAAGAGGCTGTGATTGGAAGGGCCCTTGCTGGGCTTTGAATTTTACTCTCCCTGCCTTCCTCCAAGCAACGGGGCAATGCCAACCCAAACATCCCCGAGAGCACATGAGGCCTCGCCAAAAGAGAATACATTAAGTTCTGGGTTGGGATAGAGGAAGTCCTCTTGAACAAGAGTTGTTTAAAGGCTCAAACTCAACCAAAGCCCCCAGTATCCAGGCAGAATTTCTTATCCAGGAACCCAATGCCATTCAACGCCACTGTGCATCCTTAAAGAACCCACAGAGACACCCAAAGGCTACAGCTTGGGGAAGGGCCTTATGAACAGCATTTCTGGAATATGAGGCCTCTAATGGCCAGGAACTGGTGCCAACTAGAAGCAATCAAGTCCTTTCCAAAGGAATACCATCTGACCTTTGTCTCGGTTAGAATACCTACGTCTTTCAAATCTGGCATAGGGCCTGCCCTAATGTAGTTCATGGTGAATTTATGAAACTGCCAAGAGATGGCATGAGTTCAAAATATAAATGTGATAAAGATGAACTGACATTGATTTAATGACAACAGATCCCCAGTGGGCTACCAGGGGAACACCGAGACACTGGGGGAAGGTCTCTAACACAAGACTGACATGGTACTGTGCCTGTGGCCTATCTCAGCGGAGCATGTCCTGATTTTCTTAAAAGGTTCCCAATACTGTTCACCACCATTTCTCCTTCTACTTGAAGGCTCAATGCTCAGCCCCTATCCCACCAGAGCAAGACTCTTTCAGCACTTTTTTTTTTTTAATTTATTTTTTTGTTTTCAACATTTACTTCCACAAGATTTTGAGTTCCATATTTTCACCCCATCTCGCCCCTCCCCCCACCCCAAGATGGCATGCATTCTGAATACCCCTTCCCCTAGTCTGCCTTCCCTTCTATCTCTCCCCCCCTTCTCTTATCCCCTTCCCCTTCAATTTTCCTGTAAGGCAGGACAGATTTCTGTACCCTATTTCCTGTATTTCTTATTTCCCAGTTGCATGTGAAAACATTTTTTTTAAACATGTGTTTTTAAAACTTTGGGTTCCAAATCTTCTCCCTTCCTCCCTCCCCACCCACCCTCATTGATAAGGCAAGCAACTAAATATAGATTATATATGTGCAGTTATGCAAAACACTTCCATAGTAGACACGCTGTGAAAAACTAACTCTATTTCCCTTAATCTTATCCTGCCTCCCCCATTTATTCTATTCTTTCTTTTGACCCTGCCCCTCCTCAGAAGTATGTGCTTCTGATTACCCCCTTTCCCAATCTGCCCTCCTCTCTATCATTCCCCTACTCTCTTGTCCCCTTCCCCCCCTATTTTCCTGTAGGGTAAGACAGATTTCCACACCCAACTGAGTGTGTATGTTATTCCCTCCTCAAGTCAAATCCTACGAGAATAAGATTCACTCATTCCCTCTCACCTTCTCCCGTTTCCCCTCCACTGTTAAGAGCCTTTTCTTTTTTGTTGTTTTTTTTTTTTTATGGGATAATTTACCCCGTTCTACCTCTCCCTTTCTCCTTCTCCTAGTATAATCCTCTCTCACCCCTTAATTTTATTCTCGAGATATGACCCCTTCATTTTCAACTCACCCTGTGCCCTCTATCTATCTAGCTATATCTATATACATACATATAATTTTTTCCCTCCAACTACCCTAATACTGACAAAGGTCTCATGAGTTACAAATACCATCTTTCCATGCAGGAATGTAAACAGTTCAACCTTAATAAGTTTCTTATGATTTTCTCTTTCCTGTTTACCTCTTCATGTTCCACTCGAGTCTTGTATTTGAAAATCAAATTTTCTATTCAACTCTGGTCTTTTCATCAAGAATGCTTGAAAGTCCTCTATTTCACTGAATGACCATTTTTTCCCCTGCAGGATTATACTCAGTTTTGCTGGGTAGGTGATTCTTAGTTGTAATCCTATCTCCTTTGCTCTCTGGAATATTATATTCCATCCCCTGCGGTCCCTTAATGTAGAAGCAGCTAAATCCTGTGTTATCCTGATTGTGTTTCCACAATATTTGAATTGTTTCTTTCTGGCTGCTTGTAATATTTTCTCCTTGACCTGGGAACTCTGGAATTTGGCTACAATATTCCTAGGAGTTTTCCTTTGAGGATCTCTTTCAGGAGGAGATCGGTGGATTCTTTCAATTTCTATTTTGCCCTCTGGTTCTAAAATATCAGGACAGTTTTCCTGGATAATTTCTTGAAAGATGATGTCAAGGCTCTTTTTTTGATCATGGCTTTCAGATAGTCCAATAATTTTTAAATTCTCTCTCCTGGATCTATTTTCCAGGTCAGTTGTTTTTCCAATGAGATATTTCACATTGTTTTCTAATTTTTCATTCTTTTGGATGTTTTACAGTGTCTTGATTTCTCATAAAGTCACTAGCTTCCAATTGCTCTATTCTAATTTTTAAGGAAGTATTTTCTTCAGTAATCTTTTGGACTTCCTTTTCCATTTGTCCAATTTTGCTCTTTAGGGCATTCTCCTCATTGGCTTTTTGGACCTCTTTTGCCATTTGGGTTAGGTTATTTTTTAAGGTGTTATTTTCTTCAGTATTTTTTGGGGTCTCCTTTAGCAAGCTGTTGACTTGTTTTTAATGATTTTCTTGCATCACCCTCAGTTTTTCCTCTACTTCTCTTACTTGTTTCTCAAAATCCCTTTTGAGCTCTTCCAAGGCCTGGGACTGATTCATATTTTTCTTGGAGGCTTTGGATGTAGGAGCCTTGGCTTTGTTGTCTTCTTCTGGTTGTATGTTTTGATCTTCTTTGTCACCAAAGTAAGATAATATAGTCTGACTCCTTTTGCACTGCTTACTCATGATCCTGGCCAATTACTTGAGTTTTAAACTCTTTGTTAAGGTAAAAGTCTGCTTCCAATGTGAAGAGCATACTGTCTCATGCTTTGGGGGGCTGGTACAGCTGTTTTCAGAGGTACTTCTAGGGACCTATAAATTTGCAGTTCTTCCAAGGTGCTATGATAAGGGGCAAGGTGTTTCCTCTCCACTGCCACAACAAGCTTCAGCACACCAGCATTCCTCCTCGCCCCAGGACCGTCCCTCAGAACTGTGACCCAGCTCCAAGCATCGGTAAAGCAAGAGATTTCTGCCTCAGCACTGGCAAAGAGATCCTTATAATCCCACTCTGATCAGCCACTCGATTCCCCCTCAGTCTGTGGGTGCCGCTGCCCCGAAGGCATGCTCGGGACTTGCAGCTGAAATCTAGCTCCTCTCTCACCACAGTCGCAGACTTTTCCCACTGACCTTCCACGTTGTCTTTGGTGTTCCTGGGTTGAGAAGTCTGGAAGCTGCCACAGCTGCCCATGATTCGGTCATCTGAGGCCTGCTCCAGGGTCTCTGCGGCCTGCGTGCCCACGCCGAACTGCGCTCCTCTCCCCGCCCAGCACGATACACCTTTCCAATCAACCATCCAGGCTGTCTTTGGCTGGAAATTTGTTTCACTCTGTCTTTTTGTGGGTTCTGCTGCTTTAGAATTTGTTTAGAGCCATTTTTTTAGGTATCTGGAGGGCTTTGGGAGAGAGCTCAAGACAGTCACTGCTTTCCCTCCGCCATCTTGGCTCCGCCCCCTCTTTCAGCACTTCTTAAACTGTGGGTCTCAACCCCATCTGGGCCTTAGAGTCTAAGGGACTCTCATTCACCTGGTACTTAGGGGTGATGGAGGAAAGGGGCTGGTTTTCTACAATATCCAAAAACAGACACCCATGCTAAGGGGCGCTCCTGACCGCCATTGCTAGTGGACTTCGAATGGATCTGTCTCTGATAGCACGTGCAGCTCTCATCAGATATCCCCTCCCTCTGTCACCTAATAATGGGAAACTAAGGCCCTAAGCAGAAACAGAAAGGGCAGGGTAGCAATAGGACTGTTTCTAAGGGCACTTGCCTCACAAGACTGTTATAAGAAACATGAGATGATGTATGTAAAATGCTTTGAAAACCTCCATGTGCTATATAAATGTCAGCTAAGGGATTTGACAGAACTAACCATTTGGTGGAGGTGACAGGAGCCCTCATCTGGGATGAAGAGTTCAATTAGACCTAACTGCCCCAAGGCCCCAGTCTCCTGGCTCCAGGACCCAGGGCAATGTGGTCACACCCACTTCCTTCCCAAACCAAAGAAAAAAGACCAAGGGAGGAGAAAGGCTCCAGCAAAGGGCTGCGTGGAAAGCCAGTCTCTCCAGTTCAGGCCTGCTTGTCAGCCCCCCTTGCCTGCCTGACATTGGAGAACCGTAGTTATAGGGGCATGTTCAGGCCCAACCTAGCTAGGGTAATGGCTCCTTTGCCCTCCCACAGCAGCTCCCAAGTCTCAGCCTCATCTGCCCACCTTTCAGGCACCCACCTTTTGGTTTTCAGGTGTTACCAAGAGCCCAGATGCCTCTAAGGGTATTCAATTCTGCTCTGATGCTGGGTGGGGTGGGGGGAGGTGTTGACAGTGAACAATTACACTGGATTCTCAAAGTCAGCCACTAGACACTCCCTAGAAGTCCTTGGACATGGAGTTGCCATCTTCCGGAATACCACAGCTTCCTTAAGGCCCCAGAGGGACAAATTACCTAATACCTGCCCTGTACACACTGGGTGTGACCTACAAGTTCAGGGCTGAGCAAACACATTCTCTGATCCTCTATGGTCTACAAAAGGAACCAAGCCTAGAGGGCCTCCCCCTAGCCTGGGAGAGGAGATGGGACCTCTGAGTGCTGACACCCCAGCACATTCACATGCCCCGAGAAGGCCAGAAGGTAATACCAAGGCTTCAGCCTAGGAGCTCCCTCTTCTGCTGAGGTATCAACAATCGTCTGTGGCCAGGCCCCTCTGGTCTCCAGGACAGCTCAGGGGTCAGCCCACTTAGAGCTTTCTCTTGGGGCTCTGCTGGTCAAGGTGGGATCCAGCCTCACTGGGCAGGCTATGGAAGCTTCCTAGTAGAAGGTGAGAGAAATTCCCAAGTCTGTCTGTGTAAGGTGAGAGGAGGCTGGAAAGGAGGCAAGCCCCACCTCTCCTTCCTCAAGGAGTTTGTAGATCACATCTCTGGGGACTTGGGGACTAAGGAAATGACCAGGCTGCCTTGAGAAACAAGGGAAAGCCGTGTGCTGAGGGAGCGGGCCTTGGGAAACCAGCATCTTTTCCTTCCAGTATTCAGATACTAAATTTACTTCTTCCTCTCGCCTGAAGGCAGAATAATATAGTGAGAAGAGTATTGGCTCCGGAGTCAGAAAAGCTGGGTTTGAATCCTGACTGTTACTACCTGTGTGACCATGGACCAGTACCTTCCCTGTCCAGAGCCAGTTTCCCCATGTGAGGCTGGACTCTGGAATCCCTGCACACTCTATGATCCAGTCACCATGGTCTGAACCTAGCCTGAGAGAAGATAAGTGTTGGGACAGTCACAGGACTCCCAAGAGCTCTATTTATCACACTCCACAGACTTTCCAGCAAATGCTGATAAGGTAGGCAGTCACCTTTCTGCCTCTCTAAGACATCCCTGGCCGCAGGACCAACCAGCTCCCCAAGAGTGAAGGAGCAAAGGCTCTAGTACCTGCTCCCACAGACCCTGCCACAAATGCCCCCACTTTCCTTTCGTATCAACCACTGATTCGCTTCCTGGTCTCCACCCCTGAAAGGATTAGGGATTGGCAAGGGCCAGGAAACCGGCACCATACTGCACATGCAGACCTGGTCCAGCAAGTTTCCCAGCAAGTGGGAAGTGAGCTGAGTAAGAAAGAAAACTTTGGATTCAGAAGATCAGGGTTCAACTCCCAGGCTGCTATTTACCAGCTGTGTAATCATAGTGGGGGTGGGGGTGGTGGTCAAGAGCCTTGGCTCCAACACTTACTAGCTGGCATGTGACTTCCTCTCTCTAAGCCTCAGTCTCCTCATTTGTAAAATGGGGACAATTCCTTCCTCCCCAGGGTTGTTGTGAAGAAACATCTTTGTAAACCTTAAGGCTGTTATTATTAAAAGGTCAAGTACTGAAGGCACAACTGACCTGGGTTGGAATGCCAGAAAAGAAAGGCACAGGATGTCAGAGGTGGAGAAGACAAATGTCTACGTTAGAAGACTGGTCTTAAAGCCCAGTTCTGCCATCTCCCAGCTATGTGAGGAAGATCCATCCTTAGACACCATGTGCTACAGTCTCCATCGTTTACAGACAGAGAAACAGAGATGTTGAATGGGAAGTAAACTTGTCCTCAGCCACGTGGGCTCTAAGTGTGTGTAGGTAAAGCTAACACTGAAACCCAGGTGTCCTGCCTCCCAGCTCAGGCTTCCTTCCTCTACACCAGCCCCATAAAAAAGGCTGAAGTTCAGCTTCCACGTGGCTCTATTTTCCACGGGCATGTGCCTAGAAGCCTAGAACTGAGAAGCCACACGATACCTCTAGAGGGGAGGAGGGGAGGAAAGGAGGAGGAAGGACCGGGAAGGAGGGGAAGGATTACCTCCTCCCATGAGAAGCCCACTGACCACAGCTCCCCCAAGGCAGATCCAGGGCCACAGGTGGCTTCACAGGAATCCCTTGGGCTGCCTGCCCTACTCAGTTCTCATTCCCTGGACAAAGTCCTATCTAATTCCTACCTATTCACCCCAAGAGAGACTGCGCCTCCAACCTCTTCTCAGATTCTCCCTCCCCCTTCATGCCCTATAATACCAGGCACTCTTTTCCATAGCCCTCTCACACTTGCCCAGAGGGATCCCCAGAAACTCCAAGACCCCAGTCTTACCTCTCTGTTCAGCCCTCTCAAGACCCTCACACAGATTCCCCAAGCCTGCTTACGCCACCCCTGTCCTGATCCTACAGTCCTCTAGAGCCTCTCTAAGCCCTCTTATACCATTTCGATCCTGATCACCCCCAAAGTGCTCCAAACCCCTAAACCCCTCACACCACCCCTGTTCTGATCATACCCACAGTCCTCCTGATGCCCCCAAGCCCCTCGCACCACCCCTGTCCTGATCATACCCACAGTCCTCCAGACTCCCCAAGTCTCCCACACCACCCCTGTCCTGACTATACCCACGGTCCTCCAGACCCCCCCCAGCCCCTCACAACACCCCTGTCCTAAACATACTATGCCCCTCTCACAGTTGTCTAGACCCCCCAAGTTCCGCTCACGGTCCTCCAGATCCCCCAAGCCCCTCACACCACCCCTATCTTGACCATACCCACAGTCCTCCAGACCCCCCAAGCCTCTCACAACACCCCTGTCCTAATCATACCCACGGTCCTCCAGACCCCCCAAGCCTCTCACACCACCCGTCTTGACCATACCCACGGTCCTCCAGACCCCCCAAGCTTCTCACGCCACCCCTGTCCTGATGATACCCACGGTCCTCCAGACCCCCCCCAAGCCCCTCACACCACCCCTAGCTGGTCATACTGTGCCCCTCCTCAGTCCTTCATACCCCCTCCCCCAAGTCCCTCAACCCCTGCTCAAGGCCCCAGGCTCTCCAGCCCCCTCCTCACCCTGCCCTCAACACTCTTCGTTAAGTCCCGAACCCTAAGATCCCGCCCCCCGGCGCCCCTTCCTCAAGCCCCGCCCCACCTCTCCTCAAGCCCCGCCCCAGCTCCCAGGCCCCGCCCCCGGACCCTCGCACTCACCCCCACCTCGGCGCTGTCCTCCCCTCCGGGGCGCGTGTCCCTTGCGGGCGCGGGGCATGCCGGGCCGGGCAGGCGGCGCGCGGGGGCGCGGGGTCAGAGCCGGCGGGGACTCGCGTCGGGGTTCGCGCTCCTGGGCGCCAGCGCCAGCGCGCGCCGCAAAAAGACAGGCAGAGGCCGGAGGCAGCACGCCACGCGCGCCACCATCTTCGCTCAACTCCCCTAGTTGGTCCCACCCCTTTCAGCGTCCCGCCCGAACCGCTAGGGCCGCTGGGACACCGAGTCCTCCCGGATCCCCGCCCCGATGGCTCCTGCAGGCCTCCAGGGAAGGCCGAACCACATTCCCCACGGGGATCCGCGCGACGCTCTGCCTTTCCACGCCCTCCCCGACCCGCGAAACAGCGAGGCATCTCGGGAAATGGAGTCCCGTCCCAAGGGAAAACGGAGACATGGGGGGGTCATAAGAACTAAAAGGCCCACAATGCCCCAGTCTCAGAGCTAGGTTAACTCTTAAATTGCCTGGTGACAGGAGGCCCCACGTGTCTACGTTTTCATGTGCGCTTGTTTCTAAGTCCTGTATTACTTTAAGAACGATCTTCAGTAACATGGATTTTTTCTATAGCACCCTAAGGTTTGTAAAGCCGTTTCCCCACGACAATCCTATGAGTTAAATAATGCAAATATTATTCTCTTTATAGAGCTAATAAATTGTATTTGGGGTGGAGGGAGAAAATCAGCCAGCACAGGTGTAGAGAGGAGAAGGAAAAATGATTTTATGGTCCAACCTAACTATGGAATGAAAGTACAGACTAAGACAAAGTAAACTCCACAAGCACCGTGACCAGTAGCATATGGGGACGTTCAGATCCACCTCCTGAATCCCAGGTGGACCAGCTCCCAGTTCATGGTCCTTGTGCCCAAGTACTTGAATGTAGGGCTGCAAGGTTTAAGGAAGATGACTCAAGGCCACATGTAAGATTATCAAGAATGTAGTTGTTCTGTAGAAGTCAGCCAGAGCCAGAGAATAGGGCCATTTAAAAACCTAGACTAAATATTACATTACATTACAAGGGGTTTTGTTTTGTGTTTTGTTTTTAGGATTTACAACTGGAAGGAAGATCATTTGGTTCAATCCCCTCATTTTGCACTGTAGCAGAAAAAATGTTAGATTTACAATCAGAGGACCTGGGTTCAAATTCCGACTACAAAACTAGCTGTGATTTTAGTCAGATCCTTTCCCCTCTCTGGGCCTCAGTGTCCTAATTTATAAAATTAGAGTTTTGATTTTTGAGGTACCTATAAGCTCTAACTCTAATTCTCTTTAAAAAAAAAAAAAAAAGATGAGGAATATGAGGCATTGAGAGCGGAAGGAATTTGTCCAAAGTCAAAATCTACATTTCCAGGCTCTGAAGCAGAAGGGGGAGTTTTAGGAAACAAGCAGGAAAAGGCCTCCACAACCAGTCTCTTTGGAGTCAGGGAGAATGAGGCCAGTGGAAACAACTTGAAGAAACTCAGAAGGCAAGGACAGATATATGTGGCTCATAGCTTTGTCCCCACAGTCGGGAATCCTCTGGGGCCCTTCATTCTGTGCCAGGTACAGGCACCTTGCAGGCAGTGCCTGCCCAGCCTGGGTAGCAGAGGCATCGAAAGTGGGTCCATTTGTCAGGGTCTTCCCTGGGGGCTCCCACGGCACTTGCTGGTTCCAAGTGCAAGAAGACGTCATCGTTGTTGGGCTCCTGTCGGGCACAGCGCCCATTGCCATGACACAGTTGCTGGCTGCAGGCCTGGGCAGCCTTAGTCACATTGCTTAAATAGGGGCCCAAGATGTTTGACAGGTAGCTCTGGAGAAGCTTGCACTGCTCCTGAGGATGGAAGATAAAGAGAAATCCTTCATCCTTCAGAGGAAAGGGAAAGAAGGAGACATCATCTCAAAGGGGACTAGTCTCCATACCTAGTCCTGGGACCGACTCCCCCCCCTTTCCTTCTCCCTGACCCTTGAATCATGGTCAGATATACTCCCTCCTAGATTGGGAACAGACAACAGAACATCAAGGATTGGAAGGGCCTTAGTGACCACCTAATTTAACCCTTGTGTTCTACAGAGTTGGAGAAAAGCAGGGATTACAAAGCTAAGTGAGCTAGCCAGTGTTGCCCAGTGAGGAGTACGAGACCTAGAGTTCCTAGGTAGTGTGGCTCAGAGGAAAGGAATGGGATTTGGAGTCAAAGGACCCGAGTTCAAATTGCAGTTCTGCCACTCACAACCTGGGTGACAGTCGGCAAGGCACCACCTCCACGCTTTTGTTTCCTCAGCTATCAATTGGAGGAATTGGCCTAGATGGCCACTAAAATTGCTTCTAGCTCTAAATCCAGGGTTCTACTGATGCTGAGTGATGTGAGCAGAACCAGGAGAACATTGTACACATCGCAGTGTGCGATGATATTCGATGACAGGCTTAGCTCTTGTCGGCAATACAATGATCCAGGACAATCCCAAGGGACTCCTGAAGGAAATCACGATGCTATCCACATCCAGAGAAAGAACTATGGAGTCTGAATGCAGATCAAACCATACTATTTGCACTTTTTTTTCCCTTTCTTATGGTTTTTCCCTTTTGTTCTCATTCTTCTCTCACAACATGACTAATGTGGAAATATGTTTAACATGATTGCACATGTATAACCTATGTCAGATTGTTTGCCATCTTGGGGAGAAGAGAAGGGAAGAAGGGAGGGAAAAAAATTTGGAACTCAAAATCTTATAAAAATGAATGTTGAAAATCACCTTTACATGTAACTGGAAAAAATAAAATACTGTTTACAAAATAAATACATAAATAAATCTACGGTTGTAGATCTGGCCTACAAGGCCAGGGCACTAAGAATAGAAGTGGGAATTTTGAGTGGACACTGGCTGGGCCAGAAGGAGAAGAATCACTTACCCCAGAACTGGAAAAAGAGAGATCACCCCAAAGCACCACGCCTTCTACCCCCAGGGCCACACTTACTCCAATGGTCTGAATCAGGTCATTCTGGGAAGGGAGAAATGTTAATCAGCAACCCTTGTCTCTTGGCTCTGGCCAAACTTCCCTGCCCCCTGGCTCCCTCCTCAGACTAGGAACTCCAAAAGCTCCCTGAAGATCGGGACTATGTCTCCCCCTCAGATAAAAGGCTCACCTGGGACAGAAACCGCCCAGAACCAAGGTGAGTAAGGCGAGTATAGGCCATCACAGGCAGAGGATGCGGGTGCCCAAACCGTGCCACTCGGGAAGCCTCTTCCAGTCGGTGTCGTGCATAGCTCTTTCGATAGACCTGGGGCAGGCCAGGTGGGAGGTAGATGCTGGGGAAGAGGGCAGTAGAAGCTTCCCAAAGCCAGCGCAGCCGGTCATTGGAGGCCTTGTCCGCCATCTGGCACTTCCCAGTGTAATTGTGCCTGCCCCGCCAGGGGCTTCGACAGAGAGGGAATCGATAAAAGCCCCACAGCCCCCTGGGACGAAGTGCCTGTGCCAGCTGCAGGGTGCCCTCCATTAGTGCCCGAGCAGCCCCCTCAAAGGTAGCCCGAGCCTCAAAGCCCTGCAGCTTATGAGGTAGATCCGGCCACCGCTGCTGGGCCCAGGCCCAAGACGCCTTTCGATAGATTCGGCGGGGCCCCCAGTTCCGGTTCCAGAGGGGGTGCCACTCTTCCCAGTCAAGCACAGCTAAGCCTCTGAAGCCCTTATGCATGAGGCCAGAGATCTGACTGGTGACTAGGGCGAGGTGCTTGTGCAGGGGAACAGCCTGGGGGATACCTCCATGGTGGAGGACACCCCTGGGTCCCAGGTAGGGGTAAAGGCCAAACTGGTTCTTGTAGAAGATGGTAATGTTTTGGCCCCGGAAGCGCTGGGCCTGGTTGTGCACGATGCCAAAGGGCTCCAAGAGCAGGGGCTGGCCAAAGTGGGTTTGGCATCGGGCTGTTGGAACGTTCCACACTGCGGTGAAGGGGCGGCCCACATGCCATGAGGTCGCCCACCCACCCACCAGGCACAGGGTGGCCCAGGCTACCAGATAGCAGCCCCCATTCATAGTTTGGCCCAGCAGGGAGAGACCTGTAGGGGAGAGAGGAGACTAGAGTGAGGGGAAGGAGCACAGGAGTCCCAGGCCTGAGGAAAGATTGGATTTGGGGCCCTGACATCCCTCACTGAGTCACACATTGCCTCCCCTGCTCCCATCCTCACTGACCTTCCCTTCCAGACCTCTCATTGAGCCGGTCAGGAAAGGCAGAGAAGGCTGATAGTTAAACTTAGCCTCCTGGGAAGGGGAGGGCCTGGTCTGAAGGAGAGGTGGGAAGGGAGCATCCAGGACGCCTGAAGCCAGGAGAAACATTGTAAGAGGAGGTTCCATGCAGCTGACCAAGTGGTGAAATAAACACAAAGAAGAGACCCTAGCCATATGGTCCCCGGGATGGGGCTGCTTTATTTAGTGCTGCTCACACAGAGCCATGCTGCTTAACAATTTAACAAATCCAACCAACACCTATTAAGCACCCACTGAGTGCAGAGACCTTTACCCATTGTTCAGATCTGACACAGACCCTGACACAGTCACTGAGCTTAGGATCTTCGAGGCAACTGGCACAATGTCTGAGGTATCGCAGTGTGCTGGATTTGGAAGAAAAGCCTGGGATCAAACACCAGCTTTGCCACTTTGCAAGTCTGATCTGCCACTCCAGGACTCAGTTTCCTCCTTTAGAAAATGGGGACAATAATACCTATGTGCAACCCTTCTTCCCTCACAGGGGCATTGTGAGAGAAGTGTTTTGTAAACTTTAAAGTGCTACAGACACGGCTAGCATAGCCAGTATATTCTCCGTGGCCTCTCATTCTCCAGCTCCTATACTGAGTGTCTTTTTGGCACTGAGATTGGTGCCCCCCAACACCTCTCCCCTCCCCCAAAAAGAAAAATGGGATGGGGCTGGGTGGTCGCCCCATCTTCTCAGGCATCTCTTCTGACCATTCTTTGTGATCCTTCCCTGCATGCTTTCCTTCTTTCTATCCTCAGCTGAAAGGCCATGAGGCCAACCCCATCAGATCTCCTTTGTCATCCAAAATATGGGGCGGCCCCGGATGTCCCTGTATGGTGTCTCCTCCAGGCTCTGCCATGGGGGGCCTGTGGGGGAAAGAGCTGGAGGGCTGAGAAGGGGGGCAGGTAAAGGAGGAGGGGGTGGTGGTGCAGGGGGCATATTGGGCCTAGGGGGGGGGGCAGAAGGAGGGGGGGTCCCTGAAGTCTTCCGGCGGGGGGGGGGGGCTTTAGGCTCTGAAGGGCTGGCAGACTGGGAGAAGGCCTGGAGGATAGCAGCAGACAGAGGGCTACTGAAGGCGACACCCTGAACTGGCTCCCCGAGCTTATAGCCCAGGTGGGCATAGAAATGCTGCTTGTCGTGGGTGGTCAGGTGCAGCCGACGAAAGCCCCGGGCCTTGGCAAAGGCCTCAGTGGCCTCCATGAGGCGTCGGCCAAACCCCTGACCCCGAAGGGCCCGAGCCACGACCACGGTTTCCACCAACAGGCTGTGATCGTGGGCAGCGACTCGGGAAAGGCGGGAATGGCCCAGGACTGTGGGCAAGGCCCCTGGGGTTGGGGGTGGCCCCAGCAGGGCCAGGCACAGGGGAAAGGAGTCTGAAGACTGGCCCAGGGAGTGCAGGCGTGAGGCTCGACTCCGAGGCCACTCCTGGTTGATGAGGTCAGCACAGGCATTTAGGAGCTCTGGACGCAGGTGGGCTGGCTCCAGGGTCAGCCCATCGAGGCCAGGGCCCGAAGCCAAGGAGGACAAAGAGGCCATCATCCAGCCGCTGGTCAGGAGCCGCCGCTTTCCCTCAGGATCTATGACCAATTCTCCATTCTCCTCCTGTGGAGTATCCAGAGCTGATGTTTCACAGAATCCTAGCAGGTCAGGGCTGGATGGGACCTCAAGGGTCATCTAGTGCAAACTTCCTCAACAAGAATGCCCTGTACAGCATCTCAGACAAAAGGTCACTCAGCTTCTACTAACTGGGAGAGCTCACTACCTACTGCACCAGCTCTCACTGTTAGGGAGTTTGTTCCTTACTAAATTATACCTAAATCTGCCTTAATGCAACTTCCCAAACCCCCAATGCTTTTAGTTCTGCCCTCTGGGGCTTCAGAGCTTAATCCTTTTTTTGGTGGACAACCCTTCAGATACTTGAAGACAGAGATCATACCACCATTCCCTCCCTGATTGCCCAGTTCTCTTGTCCAGGCAAAACAATACTCCCTCCTTCCTTTGACCAATCCTTTTATGGCCTGGTCTCTGTTGGGTCCCTATCCTGGCTTTTTTTTTTCCCAGTGCGAACTCAGCTCAGGGAGAGAAAACTCCTGTGAAATAAACACCAGCCTCCTATAAACTCCCAAAAGGTCCAAAGCAAAGTTATTTTTGGATTATCTGTGGGTTTGGGATTATTTATGTTGCTCTGCCGGCTTTGATAGAAGAGGAAATCCTTCTCCTGGAGCAGCTGACAAAAGGCTGCTGAGAGGGAGGACAGGTTCCCCAAGCCCTAAATGGAAATCCCACTTCAGCTCATGGGAGGAAGGACTAAGAAGATGGCCCTGCATACAAGAATCTCAGGTCTCCAATAACCTCCCCCAAGAGACCACCTGGGGCAGGGAAACTGAGGCTCCCAGAAAGGTGGAGGGTCAGCTTGAAGGGGAGAGAGGTCAGGTGGTTAGGAAGGTCAGAGCCCCTAGGGCTGATAGGGGGAAGGAGAAATAGAGGCCTGGCCCCCTCCCTCATGAGGGGCTCTGCATGGCTCGTGTCTGGGCTGACTTCTGCTTTTCTCCAGGGGATTGCAGAGTCACACAGATAAGGACTCCCCGCTTCCTCCCCACACAGGCTAGGTCCCAACGGCTGGCCACGGAGACCCTCACCCCTCCTCCATCAGGGCCTCCCAAAGCATGATCTCCCTCACTCTCAAGGTCTGGGAGACGGGGGTCTGGACAGTAGGATGTTGTGTTTTTGTTTGGGGAGGGAAAGAGAATCAATCTCCCTAGCTCCTTCCCAGTCTAGAAATCTACATCCCAAGAGGGAGAGGACCGATGTGAGAACCCCCACTGGCAAGGTCCATCCAGCCTCCTCATCAAACCACTGTAGACCAATAATGACTCTGCTTCAGGATTCCTGATCTCAAAGAACCACTGAACATCAAAGATGGAAGGCATTCTAGAAATTGGCCCAGCCAACACTCCCCATTTTACAGATGGGGAAAGGGAGACCCAGAGGATTCTAGAAATCAACCAGGCCAACATCCTCATTTTACAGAAGGAGAAACTGAGGCCCAGAGGGTGAAGGGACTTAACCCAGATTACACATGAAGAGCCAGTTCATAGCAGAGCTAGGACCCCACATCAGGCCTCCAGACTCCTAGCTCTGGGCTCTTTCCACACTACTGCCCCCTTCTCTGCTCTGCCATCATCATTTTTAAATACCTACCCTCTTTCCAGAGATGGGGTCAAGGAAGCCAAGGGAGGGAGGGGACCCAGGGGAAGGAAAGGGATCTACCTCTTGTCCGCTACTTCCAAGGACCAGTGCCTGCTGCTCTGCTCAGTCTGAACCCCTTCTTGAAGAAGGAAGCTTCAGCTGTTTCCTGCCCCCACAGGGATGGGGGTAACCCAAGCCCGCTTAACCCCTGCAGTGCTGGAGGTGGAGGTGGAGGGGCTAAGACGCAAGGATCCCTGTCCAGCTCCCACCTGATTCTCCCTCTTCTTTCCCCCCTCCCTTAAATGTTCTTATCAAGACCGGGACAAGACTGGGGAGAGGGGGGAAGGGGTGTTGGTCTTCCCTTTTTTCTATTCCTAGGGGCTGGGGGAATGTTCCCCAAGTGACCTAGGGCCCAACACCTCAAATCCTTCTATGCCTCAGTTTCCCCCTTTATAAAATGGGGAAGCTGGGCCCGGCCTTCCCTGAAGGAAAGAAGGTGCATTGACCCGACGGTGCCTCCAGGGAAGCTCCCAGAACCCCCTCTAACAGGGAGGGGGCGCCCCTTGGGGCCTAAGGCTAGACCCTACAAACAGACAGACAGCAGGAGGGAGACGGCTGGGGGACGGTATGCAGTGGTAGAGGCGGCGGGGAGACGGACACACGGACACAGGGAAGAGACGGCGCCCAGCCGGACACGTGGGGACGGCCGGAGGACGGACACACGGACACAGGGGAGGGACGGCGGAGAGAGGGACACACGGGCACTGCGGGAGGGCGGCTAGGCTAGGCGGGGTGGGGGGAGGAGAGGGGGCGGGGCGGGGCGTGATACTGACATGCTGGCTCCCGGCTCTGGCTCTTCCCCGGCGGCCGCGGCTTCCCAGGCCCGTGCTCCACGCTCCGCTCCGGCCTGCCCCGCGCTCCCCGCCCAGCGGTGAGGAGGACGCACAGCAGCAGCTGCCCGGCAGCGCCCCTAGCGGGCCTGGCCCGGCGCCCCAAGCCCCGGCCCGATTGGGCACCGGGGCCGCGGGGCGGGGCCAACTTCACGAGGCAGTGCCCCGGTCTGGTGTGCGTGCACGTGTGTGTGCGCGTGTGCCCTGCATCAGTGTGTGCGCCTGCGCTAAATCAGTGTGTGCCCTCTATCAGCATGTGTGTGCCCGCGCCTATGTGCACGTGCCCTGCCTCAGTGTGTGTGTGCGTGTGCATGTGTGTGAACGTATGCATGAGTTTGCTTGGCCCTCAGTCCGAAATGTTAGTGAACAGCTTTGGGGGGGCGGGGGACCCTGCGCTAGCTTCTTGTGAGAAAGTGCCTGTGACCCCAGGTACCCAGTGGCTATGCGTATCTGACCGCGGGGGTCCGCGACTGTGGCTGGGACTAAGGGTGTGTTTTAGTGACAGTGACAGCAGATGCTACCCGGGTCTGGCTCTAGGACAACCCAAAGGGCTCAAAAATATCCATACCCTTTTTGGGGCAAGAGCACCGGCCCTGAAGTCAGGAGGACCTGAGTTCAAATTCGGCCTCAGACCAGACACTGACTAGCTGTGTGACCTTGGGCAAGTTACTTAACCCCAATTACCTTAAAAAAAAAAGAAAGAAAAAATATTCATACCCTTTTTAAAAATTCCTCTTTTTGAATAAATTTATGTTTAAGATAACTGTTGAGGAGCCAGCATGGTAAGGTGAAAATTAGAAGGCTTAGGTGCAAATCTCTCTCTGTTGCTACCTGTGTGACCTTGAGAAAGTCACAGCTCCTGTGGGCCTCAGTTTTCTCATGGTAAAATAAAGGGGTTGAACCAGGTGACCTCTAAGGTCTATTCCAGCTCATCTGCATATGATCTATGACATATGCTCATGTATGGAAATCTATTTTTAAAATTTTCAACTGAACCTGTGATCTCATTGGTGCCAGTGAGGAAATTCCCTCCACCAGTGTGAATGCACAGGTCCCAATCAGGCTGAGAGAGTTCCCTGAGGCACTGAGGGAACTTTCCTAGGGTCTCAGCAGCCAATGTGTGCCAGAGGGGCATCTTGAAGGAGGGATTCCTAACTCCAGGGCCAGCTCTCAGTGCAACAGGTCTTCTCGCCTTTCAATGTAAATTCATACACTCATCAGAATAATCCTGCTTGGTCCTGAAGAAGACATTTAAAAAATAAAAAATAAAAAGCCTCCCTCCCTTCCTTGCAGAAGAGGGGGACTGCAGGTGTGCAAGATAGCATATGCTATCAGAATGGGTGAGGGTGTGGTGGAGAGAGTGCTAGACTTGGAGTCACAAGACCTGGGTTTGAATTTCACCCTAGATTTTATTACTCATGTGAATTTGGACAAGTAACTTCATTTCTTTCTTTCTCACACATAAAATACTCTGCAAATCTTAACAGGAGTTACAGGAACATCAGCTATTATCAAGATACACATGTGTATTGAGCAACACCCAGGCAAGGAAGGGGTCAATACTCTATAGATTAAGCTCTGAGTCCTCACTGGAAATGAAGACAGGCGTATGGATTGACTGATTGACTGTCTGACTGACTGATTGCCCTCTCTGGATTTGGTGTCGGAGGACCCACCCCACCCAGCACACCTGAAGCTCTGGATTTGCTGACAATTAAAGAAACTCACTTGGAAGGAAAGGGGAACTCAGTTTCTAAAGGTCGATACCTTTCTTCCCTGAGCATCTCTTTATCATCATCATCATCATCATTATTATTATCCTCATCATTATTATTGAAAAATCATTCTCATCTTGTTCAATGGAGTTCAGACAGAAATGGTCCTGGGACAAGTTGCTATGCTGCAATTACTCATTTATTTTTAATATTCAGCAAAGCATTGCACAGGTGGATAAAATTATTGATTTTTGTTATTGAATAAAAGTATTTGGATACAAGTGCACTGTCCCCAGTGGCCCCTGACAATGGTCTACTCTCCCTTCCTACCTCTTATCCCAGTAGGAAAAACCAACCCAGAGACAAAACCGTCATGAAGTATGACAAACTTTCCCCTCAATGTGATTTATAATAATTGTGTTCCTTGGAATAACATCATTCTCATTTCTATAGTGATTTATAAAGCACTTTTTTTCCAAACAACCCAATAAAGTCCTGTTATCTCCCTTTGACCGAGAACACCAGGGTTCAGAGAGATGGAATAAGTTATTCAAAGTCACACAGCTAGTATATTGTAGAGTGACAGTCATTGAAGGGTGGGAAGCAGTGAGAGGGAGTTTCAGAGGGGAAGCTGTCTCTGGCCTAGGGTACAGGCCAGAGAGTACAAGGATCAGAAAGCCCTTCAGCTGTTCTCTTGTTCCTAGCCAAGGCAATGTTTCTTTAGAGGAATCAGTAGCTGCCCCTTTCTTGCTCACAGTGCCCCCCAGTCCAGCCTGTATAACAACGACACCTATATTCTGTTTTCATCTTGGCCAAGGACTCATCTGCCAAGAAACCTTGAAGGCTCAAGTGCCCACTGTCTGGCTGTTGATGGATAGAGAAGCTGGCTGGGCTGAGGAAAAGGAAGGCTTGGGGGTGATGCTGGCGGCGGGCACATCTGCCATGCCCGGAGCACAGCGCCTCGCTGCACAGGTAGGCTATGCTGGTTACATTCAGGATGAAGGGGCCCAAGGTGGTGTCCACGTAGTCCTTAATGGCCTGGCAGGATTCCTAGGGGCACAAAGCAGGCAGCCTTAGTACCAGACGTACCCAGGCACCCCCAGGATCATCTTCCATGCTAGCTTTGCCTGGGCACTCCCAGAGGCATCAGGAGGCTCAGGACCAGCCTCTCTGGACACCCCTAGGAACAGTCCATGTTGGCTTTGCCTAGCATCGGAAAGCTCAGAGACAGCCTCACCCCTTCAGGGTAATCTTAGGGGTATTGAAATCTCTGGAAGAGGGAGGCAGTGATGCCTGAGTTTGTGGACCCTCTGCCCCCCACTCCCACCCCATTGGTCTCCAGGTGTTGGTTGTGCTCCTTTCCTTTCCAACAGGGTTGCAAGAACTCATTCAGAAGAACCTGCCTTTCCAGCCTGGGTTCTCTTATTCTAAGGAGGGCTTGGTAATGGGCATCTCTGTAGTTTTCTTTCTTTGTTTTGACTCCCTGGTTTAAGTATCAATACCATATTTGTATCATAGAAGAAATGTAGCAGGACCCTTTCTTTTCATTTCTTTTCCTTTTTTTTTTTGGAGGCACTCAGGGTTAAATGACTTGCCCAGGGTCATCTAGCTAGGAAGTAACCTCTTCTTTTCTTTTTTTTCTTTTTTTTCTTTTTTTCCAGCTTTTACAGTATTGGAATTAACTGTTTTTTAAATGTTTGCTAGCATTTGCTTGTAAATCTATCTAATCCTGGTTTTTTTTTTCTGTGGGAGTTCATTTTTGGCTTGTTCAATTTCTTTTTCTGATACTGAATTGTTTAAGTCTTTCATTTTTTGTCCTGTTAATCTGGGCTTTGATATTTTTGTAAATATTCATCCATTTCATTCAGATCGTCAGTTTTATTGGCATATAATTGAATATAATAATTTCTAATAATTTCTTTTATTTCTTCATCATTGGTTATGAATTTATCTTTTTCATTTTTGACACTGGTAATTTGACTTTCTACTTTTTAAAAATCAAATTAGCTAATAGTTTATTTTATTGGGTTTTTTAAGCTGCTAGTTTTATTTTTTAATTTAATGGGTCTTATGCTCTCAGTTTTGTTAATCTCTTCCTTGATTATTAGGATTTCTATTTTGATATTTAATTGGGATTTTTTTAATTTGTTGCTTTTCCAGGGATTTTTTTAGTTGCATGCCCAGCTTCGTGATTCGCTCTTTCTCTCTTCTATAATGAGAAGTCCATTGTCCACATGTGACACTGAGCCCTTAGGCCTCTCCCAGGCCCCACTCACCTGGGTGTGTTCATGGTCTCCACCCATCCATATCACAATTCCATCTGTCCCCTGGGCCAAACTCTCTCCAATGGTATTCTCTAGCTCCTCCTGGAGGATGGGGGAATGTAGAAAGGGGAGGAAAATGCCTTTGTGAATATATTAACATCTCTCCCCTCCCCTAATTCATGAAGGGACAAAGGGACATGCCATTCTCCTCATACCTGGAGAGAATACTCCTAACAGCAGAGCAAGGGTTCATAATAATATTTTGAATTTCCTCTAGTTTTACGGTTTACAAAGTGCTTTCTTCCCAATAGATCTCTCCTCTAAACACTGCATGCTCGCTCATTTAATAGGGGAGTAAACTATGAAGCTCTGACAGGGTCAAGTGACCTGTCCAAGGTCACACAGCTAGTAAGTATTAGAGGCACCAGGGCTCCTTACTCCATATCAAGCACTTTCGACTATACCGTGATGCTTCAGTGGGACAGAGACCTGCACACCAATGGGTGTGTCAGGTATCAGGAGGGTGATCTCCTACAAATTGGGAAAGGGGAGCCCAATTCCTCGAAGTTTGGTCCGACACCAAGGCAAAAGCAAGGTCCATCCCCAGAAGACTCAAGGTAGGAGTGGGTTACTCTGGGGAGGGCCCTGGGCCTAGCTTGGGGCTCAGGGTATGGGCCAAGGCTCTGGGCTGCAGCTGGTCTAACTTGTCAACAGGAAACTGAAGCTTGGGGACTGGAGGAATGTGCTCACCAAGGGCAGAAAACGATCTGTCCGCTCATAAAAGATCTGCACGTAGGGTAAGATGGGCCGGCCGGGATCTCGGGTTCTCCCTTCCACTCTGAAGACCTCTCGCAGCCTCCCACGGACAAACATCAGTGACTTTCCTGAATCTGCCAGCTCCAGGGGAAGGTAGATGCTAGGGTAGAGGGCTCGGCTCAGTTCCCACATCCATAACAACTGGTTGTTCAATTCCTGGACCTCCTGACAGCACTCTCCTGTGTAGTTGGGCTTCTGGAAGTTGTAATTGTAA